AAGTACAATTTGGACCACAGGAAGTAAAATACCTGGGGCATATACTGTCGGCAAAAGGGATTCGTGTTGGGGAAGATCGTATAAAGTCTATTGTCGATTTGCCTGCATCCAAAACAATCAAAGCGCTTCGCTCAGTATTGGGAATGGTGAACTATGTGAGGAAATTTATACCCGACCTTTCTACGGTGATCGCACCGCTAGTCGAACTCACACAAAAAGAGCATGTAAAATCGATCGCAAAACGTTGGAACCAGGAACATGATAAGGCTTTTGCAGAGATCAAACGGTTACTCAGCAAAGCACCTGTGTTATGTTTCCCTGACATTACCAAAGACTTCGTGGTTCACGTAGATGCTAGTGAAGTTGGTGCAGGAGCATTCCTGGGCCAAAAGAACGGCGACGATGTGAATATTATCGCTTATTTTAGCCAACGATTTAACAAGGCTCAACGTCATTACTCTGCGACGATGAAGGAATGTTACGGTGTGGTTTTGAGTTTACAACACTGGCGACCCTACTTGTGGGGCAGACATTTCGAAGTTGTCACGGATCACGCGGCATTGAGATATTTGTACACAATGCAAGACACGTCTAATATGCTGACCAGATGGGCAATCGCTTTGCAGTCCTTTGACTTTACAGTGCGACACAAGCCGGGAAAGTTACATGTAGTCCCAGACACCCTATCTCGGTTGTTTGCGTTCGATCACCAACAACAGTTGGAAGCACCGCAACTTGCACCGATATGTAGGAATGTGCCTGATGACCCTGCGCTGCATTCAAATGTCCCACCACGTCCGTACCAAGTGTCTGCAGATCGTTTGGAAAACTTGCGACCGGTTCAAAGTGATCGCGAATTATTCGCTGAGAAATCAGTTTATATTAGCGCGACCAACGTATTTGAAACTATTAACCGCGATATCTTGCGTGAAAAACAAGCTCTTGAATATGGCAAGTATATCGACTATCTTACAAAACCTGACGCTCAATTACCTGATGACGAGACAACCACTTCCATGTCGTACTACTTCGTGCGTGATGGATTGCTGTTTAAATCGTATTTACCAGGCTACCTCCGGAAACGTAGTACGTTTAGTGACCAATTGGTGTTGCCTTACGCCCTTACCGGACTAGTGCTACACGCCTATCATGACCACGTATTATCTGGGGGGCCACTTAGCGTCTAGACCGACTTATGAGAAGATTCGCCAAAAGTACTGGTGGCCAACCATGAATCGGGACGTCCGTACTTGGTGTCAAGAATGCCAAGCCTGTCAACGTCGGAAAACAGCCCACAACCGGAACAAATTACCAACGGGACATGTACCAGTACAAAGACCGTTTGAACGTATTTCGGTTGACCTAGTTGAATATAAAGTAGAATCAGTTTCAGCCGCCGGGGTACGGTGCAAACATGTCCTATCCATGATGGACCACCTAACCCGATTCACCGTGTTGACTCCGATTCCCAACAAGTCAGCAATCACTGTCGCTCAGGCCATTATCGACCGCATCATCAACATCTTTGGATCGCCTGAACTGTTGCATTCCGACCAAGGACCTGAATTTGAGAACAGTGTAGTCCACCAATTACAGCGTATTCTGAACTACAAGAAAACCCGCACGACACCATACCGTCCGCAGGGTAATTCTGTCTCAGAACGAGTACATGCTACCATGCACGCAATGCTTGCCATGCATAGTTCCATGAACCGCGATAACTGGGCATCATTGCTGCCTTTTGTCCAACTGGCTTACAACACGTCATTTAGCTCCACCATGCATGAAACACCATTCTTTCTTATGTTTGGTCGGAAGCCACGACTACCAGTTGACATTATCCTCGGCATCCCTCATGAGGGAACAACAGCGAATACCGAGGAATTCTCTAAAACAATACAGGAAAATCTACAGGTTGCTTTTGAACTAGCGCGCCGTAACCTATCGGAACGCACAAAAAAACAAGCTGCTAAGAACGCTAAACTGCGCCCTATCCCTGTGTTTAAACCTGGTGATCTAGTACTTGTGTACCGCCCATACCAGGATTCGGATGGACCAAATCCGAAATTATTGTTACCGTGGAGAGGACCTTACGTCATCTGCTCTAAATTATCACCGGTGGTATATAGAGTGAGACGCCAGAACGAAACTCGATAAGTTTCGGTCCATTTAGCCCACATTAAACAGTACTACGCGAGGAAAACGCCACCTGCGCCAGACTTTGATAAGCTTTCCGAGTTTTTCTTAGGACGCCAGATTCCGTTGCCCGAGCTAGACCATCCCGACGAAGCTCAACCGAAAATTGAATCCTACGTCGTTGACAAAGTGGTAAGTCATAAGAGTGGTAAGGGGCCGAAAACCCCGTACAACTACAAGTATCGTTTGCGTCTTCGAGGCTACGGCCCTGAGTCAGACCTTGAATATAGAGCAGACGAAATTCCACAATGTCAAGAAATGATATCTGCCTACCGAATCCGTTGTGGTTTGGAAATCGTGCAGCCTAATAAATCGTCGTCTCGTGCCCCAGTTGAACAGGGAGACCCAAAATCACCCAGTAAAACAGGGAAACGAAAACGAAAACAGGCAGCTACTCCTCAAGAACCATTAAGTCGAAAATTGGCAACGCAAAGTGGCTCTGAGCCACCGAACAAAACCAAGAAGCGACGAAGAAGGCTCCTAAAGGAGGGTCCATTACCCAAGTCGCGTTCTGCTACGACACAGAGTGATACTCAATTGCCCTGCCGTACTAGCAAACGAAAACGAACTAGGGCCCGGAAATTAAACGATTGATTTATTCTATCGTTCCTAACAGTTGCCATGTCTATCTTTTCCGAGACTTGAGACAAATTTATACTACTATTATTCTGTGTTATATATATATATTTAGCACAGGACCAGTAGCCACGGTGGTTGGTTGTATCCAGTGGAAACAACCTATTTTTGAAGTGTTTGGGGAAACACTCGCGAGGAGAATTGAATGATACCACCGCTGTCCCAAGATCTTATTTTTTTATGAATAGATCTTATTTTTTGATGAATAGATAAACTTGCCAGAGGGTCACCTCATTACAAGTTCATCCTCCATCAAGATCTTATTTTTTTGATGAATAGATAAACTTGCCAGAGGGTCACCTCATTACAAGTTCATCCTCCATCAAGATCTTATTTTTTTGATTAATAGATAAACTTGCCAGAGGGTCACCTCATTACAAGTTCATCCTCCATCAAGATCTTATTTTTTTGATTAATAGATAAACTTGCCAGAGGGTCACCTCATTACAAGTTCATCCTCCATCAATACCTTATTTTTCGATGATGAATAGAGAAAACTTGCTAGAGGGTCACCTCATTACAAGTTTATTCCTCATCACGATATTATTTTATGATGAAAAGACAGACTCGCCGGAGGGTCACCTCATTACGAGCCTATCTCTCATCAACCCCACAGCATTATCATGCGAAATATTTTAGTACACTAGCTGTCATCTTGATAGCCCAGTACCCACAATTTTTTTTTTCTAGACTATACTAGTATGGACCACATCTATCACTACTCTGTCTGAAGACTCCGTGTTTTTTAACACGCGTTGTATGATAATCAGGCCGAGTTGATGATGTTGTACCAGGTAGGTTAACTCCAATACATGTGTCTCCATGAGCCACTCATGTCTATGGCCGCCAAAAGCACATCTTTAGCACAGATGGACTTGTGGCGCATAGAGGGGGGGGTGATGTGGAGGACACCTGTCAGGAGTATAACCAACCATGTGTGCACATACAAAGTGTAGGAAGATATGGCTCCCTCGGGGTATCTTGTCACAAGGAGAGTGACAGGAAATGCACCGTCGGAGATGGATATCTTCCGAAGTCCCTGGCCACTTGCCGAAAGTGGAAGCGGAGAGTCTTCGACTCTCCTCTCCCTCTGCCGCTATGGCCACTCTCTCTTTCTACCCTCTTCTCCTCGTTTACACATCACGAGAGGAAATAGCCTTCCCTTGGCAGTGGGATAATACTGCCACGGCACCGGCATCTGTCTCCGACAATAGCCAGTGTCCTCATCCAGCGAAAGTAGGCCGCGGGTTGATTAAGCGTATTGTCTGCGCTTGAGGTTGGTGTGGTTTGAGTGGTTCCTGGGGCAGGTCAATTGGGCGGCTTCCCCCAAAACCAGCCACTTGCACGACCACCGCGTGGAGTTGACTTATATCCAAAGCATCCATCACACTTGCACGACTACCGCGTGGTGTTGACTTATATCCAAAGCATCCATCAACTTGAAGGACGCATCTATACAGTATAGACGGGCGAACGCAGCCGTGGGTGCATGGGTTTTGATGGAACAGATCGACGGTTGCGACGAGTCGGCGGCACGCCTTTAGGGTAACAGGGCGCGGATGGTTCCCCAGCGTTCGCAATAGCGACCAGGGATGAATGAGGATACGAAAATTCGGGCTTACTTGATGACTTAGTTTCGAACGAGAAGGGATGTATATTTTCAACCCTCCCGGACGATGACTTAGTGCCTCCAGAGGTTCTGGCAGGAGCCCAAACGTACCCGTAGATATGCACACGCAACAGGAGTTATAATAATGCAAGTTTCGAGTTCAAACGGATCGCTGCACAAACTTTACACGTGTTTTGGATGTCAGATGTTAAGAAATGAGAAAATAAGAAAGGGAGCTCACATCGCTGCGGGGCGTTGAGCGTCGCGCACAACAGGTGTTTCTTGCGAGCGGGCCGACATCGTGCAGCGTTTCCCGCCAGAGATCCTGGGTTTCGGCGGTCAGGCCCCATCTTTGACGGCCTACGACAGAGAGCGTTAGGCGGCGTTGGTCGAGCAGGTCTTTTGCGTATCGGTTCGGCTGAATACGAACACATGATGCTGATTGAGTGAGAACGACCTACCTAAATCGATCGCACCCGGCACGGCGCAAGTCAACACTGATACTCTACAGGTCGTGCTTGGAACACGAAAACAAATGTCGGGGGAAGGAAGCCAGGGTATGCAGGTCCGAGTAGGATCAAAACGTAGGGTGGTTTGTGCGCGTAATATGCGTGAATGAGAACAAATTGCGGTGTTGAAGATTGTGGTCCAGGCCAGGATGACTGGTTTGCTGGCGTTCGCCTGAGTATGTTGGTCAAGGCCATTGGCACGATCGACACGGCTTCAGTCATGCGCGAGGATGACATATTTTCTATGCCCGGGAACCGCGAGAACGGCGTTTACTCTCACACAACAAGCGATTACAGCGTGTAGCGTTCTACGGCGTGGCTTTCCCGGCAATGCCCGGGCAAACATGAGCTCACGGCGAGCTGTTGGCTGCTCTTCCTAGCGTATTTTGTGTTTCTCTAGTGATAATGAGCACATGGTATATTATTGTGAGCTGGATATAAGCTACGCTAGCTTTGTGAGCGATTTCTTGACCGCTGATAAACGGGAAGTCTTGATCGTTTGCTGGTTGTACTCTCGATATTCAACACTATTTCGCTTTGCTGCAGATACAGCAATGTCTTGAAAATCGCAACCGCTCTTACACCCAACTAACACCGTTGTTTGTTGTTTAGATGGCGGTGCCTCCCTCATGGAGCGATCTGAATGAAAGCCCGAAAAGGAAGATGCTGTTTTCCACCTTAGCGTTCTAACCGTAACCCGGCCTTATGCTCTCCTATTTTTTCTACCTCCCGATGCAACCTTCACGTATTTTTTCGCGTGATAGGCGCAACACGGTCTGGCAACCTTGGGCAGCGACCTCCGTTCTGGTCTGGGCACCATCGGCATGGCGGTCATGTCGGAGGCCACGGGAATTCGTACCGACGTCCGCGAGGTGAAGCGTGATTTGGCGAGCGTGCGTGAGAGCGTTGAAGACTGCCGTGCGGAGAACATGGAGTTCTTCGCAAGTTTCACGGCCGGCTTGGAAGCTGCTCAACAGGGCATCGAAATCATGAGGGTAGGTACTCCGTTACCACATCCATGGGAGTGTGCGCGATTCACTCAGATTATATTTCACGGTGCTGGCCTGTTTTGATGTAGTTGGTGTTGACCTGGTGAAGAAGACGCCTGTCACTAGCAATCTGACACACGCAGTCGGTTAGTGGAATTTGTCGAGTTATTCTCTGCTCTATTAGATGGACCGGTGGTTAGCACGAGTGACGCCGACGATGTAGACACTACGAATAACGATGATTTCATCCCCCGATCCGCGTTTTCCATTGCTTACGTTCCCCGTCGGGCGGCCAAAATGAGCCCCCCGTGTATTGCTTCTGTCGCTTGCTGTGCTGCGCTTAGAGGAGGCATTATCGCCATGACCACAATTGTCGACGCGTGTGATGCGCAGCGAACACAAACAGTACCTGGTACGTTTCTAGTACTGCGGCTTCCGTTCGCGACGCTAACATGGTAGCTATTTGCCGGGGTTCCACAACACCCAGTCCATCGGATACTGTTGGCGTTAGGTCTTGTTGTTGCGAAGTGTAATTTAGAAGAACTGAGAACGTTGTTGCTGCGTTTTTCATCGTTTTGTCAGCCCCGCCAAACATTGCGATGATTCGTGACTCCTTTTCTGGGGCGGGGCATGCAGGTCACACGACGGTGCGGCGGAATTTGTGTATTGAAAATCAGTATCACGCAGTCCGCAAGCTTGTATCCCTGGTTGACTTTCTCTGTCGCGTGCGTCCGTCATGCACAGAGCGCTCCCCTGGAAGAGGCGCGAATGTCCCTCAAGAACTTCGAGGGCAGCAAGGGCAATGTGCGATTTCTCGAGACAGCGCACAGCAAGGCCTTGACCGCTCTTGTGCAGGGGCACACGCTGGATGTCAAGCTGAGCGCGGCAGTCATCGCTGTGTCAGCGGGCTATATTCACATGAGCAAGGTGAGGTCTTCATTTTACGTTATCAAGGTCATCAATCCAATAATGTTGGAGGTCGGAGACGATGACCATGCATATCGAGGCCTCGGTTGGCGGCTCGCATGAAAAAGCATCACACGGCACGAGCATAGCAATGGTTTGACGGTGGTTCGGTCTCAGCGTTTAGCCAATGGCAGGTCGCATGAGGTGTATCATGAACGAATAACTTCACAACATGTATTTCGCATCTCTTTTACTGCATCCCTTGTACTTTCCATTTTGTTTCTTGCGCTGATACGCACGACTGTTGCACTCGTGCCGCCTACCTGCTGATGCCAGGTGGACTGTCCTAGTGAAGCCAAGGACTTCACGGTGAACGCGACGCTCGCGAACGTCATAAGTCATTTCGCGCCTACATGGAGCGACCCTTCCCGCGCTTCCAAGGCCGACGGGAAGAAGACAGTGTCGTTTCTCCTCAACATTGTTTCTTGTGTGCGGGCACTTCCGCCGGAGAGTGTACCGGTTCTGTCGAACCTGGACAAGCGGCTCCTTCCAGCCTTTGGTGCCCTTTGCTCGGCCGAACCAGAGCTGCGCCGCATGTATCACACGGTTGCCGGCGTTGCAGTCCGCGCAATGCTCGAGCAGCAGACCATGAAGGGCCTTTTCCAGCTTGCCGAAGAGGTGGACGTCGACGTCGATGCTTGTACTAGCAAAGAGTCGGTAATCCAGGCTCTCTTGGCGTCCGGCAAATGCCTTCTTCCCAGCGGAGCGACGTCGGGTCAGGCAGTCATCAAGAGCAACCCACCGGTTCCGACCCGTGTTTCCCCGGTGAAGGCCATGCCTGCTCCAGTACGAGACGCTAGAACGGATCGCACTGTTCTAATGGAGCTTTTCAACACCACGAAGGGCCCATCGTGGACGACGAGCACGGCCTGGGGAACATCGTCTTCTCTCGGAGAGTGGTACGGCGTCACCGTGAATGCCGAGGGCCGAGTGACCAAGCTAGATCTGGAAAAGAATAACCTGACAGGTGTGTCCAACGTGTTTCTTGAGCAGGATATCGTCGATGTACCACAAAATATTTACCACAAAATATTTAATATGTGGTAATGTCCCTGGACTGGGGTGTTGTCTCCGACGTGATTCTCGTTGGGTCAAAACTTCGTCAAACGTACGGTGCCATGCAACAAGGATACCGCCCGTGTGGTGCAACAGAAATTTCTCGGTGCGGACGTGGATGGTGAAGTCACGTGTTGCGACCTTGATACATATTTGGGGTCATTTTCACACGTGTCGCTGTGAGCAATCTGAAGATCCCTCGCCGATCTGATAAGCGAAGGCAAAGATTGTACAGCAAGGTGTTTGGGCCATCGAGGAGATATTCCTGCCGATACGCATTGAGCGTACGCCCATAAATAACAAGCACTCACCGCTCTACGAGCGCATCACATGGTATTGGGAGTCTTTGTCTGGGGGTTGGCTGTATTCAGCTTTTAGTGCGAAATTGTGCAACTTGAGGCAGGTGAGCTACTTCATTCCGTTATCATTTAAAGAAGATTTTCCGAACCAGTCGTCCGCATACTTGGTGGTTGGTCTGTTCATTCGGTTTGTTGGGATTTGCGTCGTCCTTGCACCTCGCTAGCCTCACGACTCTTCCGCTGTGGCATCTTCCGTACCCAACAGGAGTTGAAAATGGCCCGTAATCGTATACTTTCCCATAAGAGACCTGTGGTGAAGATTTCATGCCACCTTGCATCAGGCATCACTAGAAAATGGTGTAAGGATTTTTCTACACCTCTTCCAAGTGTCTTTCATAACACACGTGTCAAAAATACCCAGGTCTGTGGTGCATCTACAAGAGTGACTGCGCAATACCCATTGCATCCCACTGCCGTACAGGAGGCATACGCTCTTCTGCGTGTGTGGCACACTGCAAATCGCGGCTGAAATTTCGATGACGAAGCTTGTCTTCACGTGCTACAAAGAACTATCAAGCGGTGTGCATATGAAAATTTGTTGGCGGTCGAGGTGCAGCCAACAAACCGACGGTGCATGCAGGCGAAGAAAAAAATATCGCGCCTTGTACACAACATGACGTACACACAACCTTCCACTGCTGGGCAGCAAGCAGGCGTGTACCTTTCTGCGTGTGTGTCTCTGCTGCTCGCCATGACCGATCGACCGCATCACTGAGACTTCAAAAATTATATGTATGACTCCTTTCTGGGGGTCTCTAGGGAATAATTAGAACGCATTGACCTCGATAGCCTCAATAGGGCTGAAGGTCGGAGTAGCGCATGGTTGTGAGATCGTGGATTGATTGTGCGGGGGTTAAACCCCACAAGGAATAGTTCGAGCAGAGGTGAAGAATCGTTTCTAATTCCCCCCCTGTTTTGTTTCCAAAGAAATCAGCGATATCCTCACACGTGCTCGCGCGCTGAACAGCACTCTTTCCTCCGCGTTCTTTTTGCGGGCGTAACCAGAGATTCTGATTGATGGGTCGACAGGGAACTTACCTAGGGAAACAGCTACCTGCGCTTCAGACCTTGTTTCCGCACGACATTCACGGCGTTCCTTCGACCTGAGGTTGACTTGATCACAAGATGTTATTCGATTTAGCAAGGTATTGCCGGTTGGACGAGGACATATGTTTTGAGAAGGGTACGCACCTCGCACCTCACTGCTGCCCCGACGCTTCAGGTTCGAAGAACTACAACTGGAATGATTGCACGTGTGAGCTAGATTCGTGATTGGGAACCTTCACCGTGAGAGTTTCCTTTGTCTTATGTGTAGGGATGAATGTCGAGGTCGACGCACGGAGGTCACGTGCCGCCATGGGCATGAAGTACGATCATCGAAGCGGGTTATTTTTTGTCGGCTTCCGCAATGTTGCCTGTCGAGTTCATATTGGGAAATGGACTCAACTCATGATCATGAAAATGACGAGGATGGTGCCCTGGAGGTGAAGGTGGCCGCTTGCATGGACAACATGGACAAAATACGTGCACGGTTACACCCTTGTGTTAGACTGTACCTGGCTATGTAAGCCCAGCCCTCTTGAGTATCAGCTCGTCCAAGATTCACCGTACCATTTGAACGAACCTCGCGGTACCGCGCGACCCATCACTCACCCTGTATTTTGCTGTGTTTCATCGGCCTTATCCCTGTAATAGTAATTCCGTGGCTTACCGTGAGACTGACAGGTTGGTGTCCTTTGTCTTCGCAGCGTCGCCGTTCGGTGCGATGGGCTGATGTTGCCCCTGTCGTCCACTTCGAATGCCACCTTTTTTATCGTGCACGTTTGTATTAAGGGCCAGTGCGATGAGCTTAAACGCGTTTGCATGTTGCATTCGTTCACCTGTCATAGGCTGCCGTAAGGTTGCGGGTCAGCGCACGGTCCGGAGTTTCCGCACGGTCCGGAGTCATCGCACAGGGGTGCGATGAAAATTTAATGGCATAACTTTCTAATTCGATTTTAGCACAGGGTCCGGAGTTACCGCGCAGGGGTGCGATGACTCGCAACCTACAGTAGGGTAGTAGTTGAGTGCCAGCGATTTCGGGGCAACTTTCATCCCTGCAACCATGCCAGTGCTGGCATGTAGCTCTGCTGTAAGGGTAGGTAGGTCACCGTCGGATACCACACATGGGGGTATGAAGGAGATGAAACACATTTGTATTTCCATCGGATCGGTAAACTTGAACATTGCCCATTCAACCAAAACACGAGAAAAAAAACAGCAGCCATCAGCTAAAACAACTATTTAACAGCAGTAAATACCATGGAACAGCACCATGGAACAACAGCACTAATGTACCTACATAATATGTTCTACTTCTTTCGCTACGGAACAAATTTCAACCCCGCCACTACCAGAAACACCTAACAGCGCCAACCTCCGTACTGCTGAGATGCACACACAAGTTCAGGCAGCCAACCTGCCACTACTGGTGTGTGTGTGTGCTTTCTCGAAAACCTAGCATCTATCGGGCTGACTGCTGTGGTTGGCTGACGTGCGTGTGTGTGTGTACGTTGCGTGTGGAGCCTGCAGCCGCTGCACAACTGAGGAGTCCGTGCGTCTGCAAAGGGTTTTTTTTCAAGTACCGCACATACCGGAGTTATCGCACAGGGGTGTGCTTTGAAAATTCTTGATAATTTTCCCTTCAGGGTTTACTCAGGACCGCACATACTGGAGTTGTCGCACAGGGGTGTGCGTCATGTATCGAAACCATGCGATTTAATTCGATTTTCGCACAGGGTGGGGAGTCATCGCACGATCCGGAGTCATCGCACAGGGGTGCGATGAAAATTAAATGACGAAAATGTTTTAAAAACGACCGCACCCCTGCTGACCCACAACCTTACGGCAATCCGCCGTTCGTCGCATGCTGTTGGCGTCGTGCTCCAGGACCGATTCCGCCTTCTCTGGGAGGACTGACGGCTCTGCTGTTGCTTCGCCTGGACGGCAACGAACTGAGCGGTGAGTGACGGTACACGTGCCCACAACCAACGCATGCGTACGCCACAAGCTAATCCATTTCGTGGTAGCACCCCAGAAATATTTGGAAGGATTGGTGAAAAGGTAAACGTGAGGATGGGTCCCGTTCCGACCGAAGAGGCTGGGGTGATTTCAAACGTCTTCTAAGTAAAGAGATGCCTTGTCACGATCTTATGCTGCATCGGAAGTATCGTTTCACTCTTTCCAACTCAAGTCTTCTTTGGATGGTTCTCGCTTCCGATCAACACCTATGTTCACCTGCTCACCAGTGGTGTCCAGCTAACTCGGAGAAAGTCACCTGCTAATGTTGTTGAGGACAAGAAATGGTTTGTTTTTCTGAAATTGAACAGTGAGTGTTTACAAAGATGGTCACGTTCATGTCGGAAGTCGAATCCACCACTGTACCGCTCACGGGCCATGCTGGGTTGTATATTGTAGCTATTATTGTTCTGAGAAAGACTAACTAGGAGTGGTGGGCATTCGCCGGGTTCGTAGGGCTGCGAGGATACTCGCAAATTCGGTGTTCAAGGGATAACCTCCACTGGAACGAAATACTACAACACTACAGTTCGACCTATTTTGCACCGTCAGTTGTGCCAATCACTCTCAATAAGTGCAATACTGAGCCCAATCGAGACGTACGAAAGGGTAATATGCCGATGATAATAGCGGGTGTCATCGCTCAGACTCGGAGAGTAAGGCAGGAACAAATTCCCATACGTTCGGGGTATCCCGAACCAAAATAGAACCTTCACGCGTGCACGTTCTTCGAGGCGGGGCAGTGTTCGTCATTAGGATTTTCGACCAATCAGGCCCATGTCTTCAGCCCGTGGAAGTTTACCAAGAGCGCTGTCAACACCACCGCAGTCAATCGAGTTCTTGTAGTTGGCGGAGGGCGAGAGTGAGAACGCCACGGGAATGCGCATCCCTTAAAATATGTTGAGGCAAACGGTATATGCGGGATGAACTCAAGCACGAATCCAGTCTCCGACATCGCGCAATGGTGACGCATGAGGGGGGGCAGTGTGTTCACGTGGTACCATGGTTCAGGCCGTGGCATTGTGTTGGCAGAAGCGACCCGGGTCGTTCAGATTATTGAAATGGAACAATCAGCCCGCGAGGGTTCGGTTTCTCCAACAATCGGTGTAGTCTATGTGAGCATCAGCGACAATGTATCCTAACAAGAACTAAGATGGTTGGCAGTCACTCACTTCAGCTTCGTTCGAAACTGTTTCCAACGATCCCGGTAGTTTCTTGCCGGAACCATGAATTCCGAGGTAGTATGGAACGTTTTTGTGGACGACCAGCTGAAATATATAATTGTGATGTGGGTGTGTTTATTTTTATAAATCATTTTTCAGGTTTGTAATTGTGATAAGATATAGGTGGTGTGTTTTTATTTATTTATTTTTTGGGTTTTTGGTAGACAAGAGTGCAGCAGGTTCCGAAAAACATGTATTGTGACGTGTTGGCGTGGATATGCCCAAAATGGCAAAAAAAAAAAGGCTAGGCCGTTGCTCCTTCACTGAGTGCCTCCCGTCATCGACCTGATAGGGTTTGCGTTGATCTGGTGTAGTGCACTTTTGCGCGTCGCGGTGACGGATGGCATCTCCTGTACATGGGATTATGTGAGCGATGTCGTGTAGGCGATGAGCCGCGGAAGAGACTGTAATCACAACGAGATTCAACCGCGCAACCGTTATACATCTACGCGTTCTTGAGGTGGCCTGCGGATCTCGGTGATGGCTTGTGATGCCACGCGGTAATAGGAAGAGAAGGTCATGGAAGAATCAGGGCGAGAATGGACCAATTTTGGCCTTTGTCCGAGTATCCTGGGGAGATTTCAGTTTTCCCAGTCACGTCATGTTTTTGACATCCCCAGGCTGCATCAGATGCGCCAAGCGTCCTAACTGTTCTGGTTTCGAACAGGACACAGAACACCACCGGTATCGCCAACAACCCCTGACTTTAATGCATCTCGTCTTCCACCACCTCCCGTTTTCAAGCGCCAAAAAATCTCATTCAATAGCAGGTTTTCGGAAACGATCATTTGGCAAGCATCTGCGCCACGTGGTTATTTCTGGTCATCAATAACATACAAACCATACTTCCTGTGAGTCATTCAAAGAGGTGAACTTCGGCTTACAGGTGTAACGAGCTAACTCCAGACATGCACAGAAGCTTTGTCCGTTTGTAACCATGACGAGAAGGCGCGAGGTTGAGTTCGCCCCACCGACCGGTTGGCCGTCGGAGTTAGGTGTTCCCTGTTATGTGGTATGGCTCCAATGTGAGTCTCACGATCCATCGGAAACGACAGCCCCCACCTTTCCCACACTACCCCACAGTTGTTAAACATCGCTCAGACGTGTAACGATGACCTTTTGCCTCTCTCGGCGGAGGAGTCGGGGAAAACATGAAAGTCGTCAAAAATATTGCGCTTATGTTACGGTCATTCACCCAGGCGGGGTTGGTGTTCCTTGAGGTGTTCTCGCCGCTGGGCAAATCCGGTGTGTGTTGTAGTTTGTGCTCGCCAATGTTTCGGCAGGGTATGGGTATAAGAGCGTACCAGTCTATCGAGGAACTCGGCACCACATGTTTATCGAAGGAATCGAAGTGCTTTTGGCGCAGCTAAGTTTGTGCATCACATGAGCATGCGGGAACTTTACTGCGGTTGCGTGAACGTGCCAGCAATTGGTGGATTGGAGAACCCTTGTACGGGGATGAATCGATCCCGTCCCCGAAACCAGGGAAATGGTAAACCCCGATATGTTTCAACTAGCTAGGCGATATCTGGCCACGACCACCGCATCGCAAGTGTGTAGCCACCTAGCAATTTTGGTTCCGTGAGGTTCTTCATCCTCTTCCACAGCTACCAGTAGTCGTGCATTCTCATGGCGTCTTTCAACTTCAATATTGGTCAAATAATGTCAGTTTCAAGTGATCATCACGTTTTCTTGAAACAAAGTTGACCAGGTCTCTGGAATAGACACGAAAGGTGTGGGACTATCATTCTCATACTCAATATGTCCAATTCCAACCCTGCAGAGAGTGATTGTTGTTGTTGACTCAGGTTCCAAATCGGGGTTACGGGATGTGCTTTCGCCGGATTATCTGGCCCTCATCCAACTTCAATGACTGGAGTGTATGGGGTCAGTAGTTTTGACGAGGTCAGTTGGTTGGGGTGTCAGAATCTCTTTCTCCGGCTTTCTTTTTTGCCACCAAAGTTTGTGTAGGGCCGCCTGGACAAATGCCATTCAAATCATGCCAACCTGGGTTAGTACTGAATAGAGGTCAGGAATGTTTTGCTCTATATACGTTTTACTATGGAAGCGCGACGAGAACGTTGACACCAACATCATCAGGGCATTAACCTTACCTTCCAAGTGCACTCGGACTCGCGATTCGTCGGTGTAACCATTGGTTTGCTGTTCGAAACGGATTCTGGCCCTCATGTCGAGGTTTATTTGCCCGAACGTCACGTTCTATGTCCTTGTATCCCCCAGCCTCGAGATGACGTTCGTTCTCGTTTGGTCAATTACACGAATTTCGGAGTTCACAACCGCTTTCCATGATCACCTTGGGCGCAGTGCCAGAAACATGCGTTGATTCTCACCCACCGCCCTGCCCCACCCGTGATGTGCACGGCAAATATCTTGAATGTATTTTTTAACCCTGAGGCCCCCTCTGCTAGCGGGGCGGTGGATATGATTGGAGGCAACACGAGATGAACAGCAGCGTGTTCACTCTTTCTTCGTTCAGCAGCAGAAACATGGATACGCAAAAGGTGCTCTCGAGTGTCAAGACCTGTTGCACGAAACTCTTTTCATTTGCGTCGGTGCTGCCGCTGATTTCCTCAGGCGCCATTCCACCCGAGCTGGGCCGGCTGACGGCGCTAACGAGGCTAGATCTCGACGGCAACAATCTTTCCGGTGAGGCCTTGCAGTTGGTTGTCTCGCGTGTAGTGAGTGTTGGCTGTTGGTTGTTGGTAGTTTTTGGCGTTTTCTATGCTAGCCTATCGTCGGCGTGTTCGGCGTCTCTGCCTCGGGAGCGACCGGTGGCCACCTCGTGTACTTCATGCGATGGCGATTCGCTTGGTGTGACAGCCGCTGGTCATTGCTGTTGTACTATCCCGTCGAAGTCCAGCAGGTACAGCAGGTACGTCATCTGCTATCGCCCATGAAATATCCGAATGAGCTGGGAACCAACTCACCTCCGCGCTTTAGAGACTTTCCACTTCAATCTCGCAGTGTGGTAAATCATTCCATTCCAGACGCTGGGTGTTCTTGAATTTGTACATTTGGTGTAAGGGATGGTTGGCAATTTCAACAACGTCATCAGTCGTGGCAACGGCTAGGCACGGGTTACTCGGTCAACACCTCCTGAAACATCAAGCTCACTACCTCTAGGGCATGAACATCTAGCCGTCTCTATTCTCTAGTGACCGAGGACCCATTCCAGCACCCGTCAACCACGCAGAAGTTTCTCAAGAGTTTCTAGAACGTAGGATCTGGGCGGTTTGTGTTTGGTGGAGCCAAAAATTGAAAATGTACCAACCGTTGGAGTTCGCAAGTCGATACTTTGTTGGCGGATATCCCCCCCACAACATTTCTTCCGGCGTTCTTCGTTCATGACAGGAGGGGGTTGCATGGCTTGATTCTGCTTCGTGATCATGCTCTGCGTAAGATTACGCAAATTGCAGAATCATAATATGAACAGGGAACAGCTTAATGTGATCCCTTGCTTACTGTGATAGGACCATTGCCCGAGTGCGCGTGTCAATGAACGACGTGGTCCCAAGCAAGGCCTTAAATTTCCACGATGGTCTACTCGGGTATAGTATTCGCCTCTCGCAGAGGTAGCCTACGGTATGTAACTCCATCCTTCGCCCTGGTTGATACAAAATTGATTATTGAGCAATAATACGTTGGGTGTGTTTTGTTTTGGGTGTTTTTATTTTTTCAGTTCTGGGGACGCAATATTACGACAACGTGCGTTGTTTCTCTTCATCTTCCATCCCCTCCCGATTCCGGACACCTACAAAGATTCCACATTCCGTGGACGGTTCTCTGTAAGTATATATTTGCAAGCATCTTCGGCACCTCGTTTTGATATTCTCATGGACACACTGCACACCATGCTTTCTTTGAGCCGTGCAAGGAGGTGCTTTCCCGCGTGCTGATGGGGCGAACTGAACACCTACACCAACAGATTTCGTTATCCGCGACTTAATCGTGTAACAACCACCAGAACGCGCGAGGTTGATTTCGCCCCCCACGATCATTTGGCCGACGGGAAGTCTTTTCGGTACGCCTTTGGTCTGTACGGGGAACCTCATGGTTCATCGTATGTTGCAAGCGACGATACTGGTGAAACTGGGGCATTTCCGACATGTCTGTCTTTGGCTCGGGGGAGGAATAGATCTGCAGCTATAGCACCCACCGTGTGTGTCCCTTCTATGTATCGCCTTGTTCAAGGGCACCCTAGGCACGTCGCACGTTGTTTTCCAGAGTTGCCACGCAGATTACCAAAGCGAGCTAGCCCCGGGATAATCCTGTTCGGTGTTGGATACGTGCCGCGAGCAGAGGTCAGAAGGCGCCTGCACGAATGTTGGTGCAAGGGGAATCCTTGGAAACAGGACTTCCTGATGAGCGGACCGGCAGGATACATTGGTCATACCCTCTGCGTTGTGTCGTCTGTGTGCCAAGAAGGACGAGGTTTGCCTCTCAGATGCGATCAAACTCCGTTCACGAGGTGACCGTTCGCTTGAGAGATGCGTTCATGCTACCTGTGGGCCTTAAGGAGGAGGCCGTTACGCAGAGAACAGAGAGTCATCCGTGTGGGATTTGTCAAGTTTTCCACGTGCTAATGTTGCCATAGGTCGATGAAAGAGTCGAGGCGGGTATGGACCAGTTTTGGTCCTGCTCCAAGGAACCTGGGGAGTTTTTGCAGTTTTTCCAGTACACGTCGTGTTTTTCACATCCCCAGGCTGCATCAGCAGTACGAAACGTCCTGAATGTTCACAAGCCCGTGAATGGTTTCTAGCAGATGTCGAACTCTTCACTGAGACTACCACCTGTGATAGCTTGTGTACAATACACCAACGAACCTAGACTTTGTTATAGTGGTCTTCCGTCACCTCCCGAGTTCTTCCCCACGCAACCGCACTCTATAGGAGTTTCTCGGAAGCCAGCAATTGGCAGGTACTTGCGTCACTTGGTTACTTCTGGTCATCGAGAACCCGCCAAACCATACTTTTTGTGATTCATTCAAGAAGGTGTTTTTGGCTTACAGGTGTTACGAGCTAGCTCCGGGCATGAACAGAAGCATTGTCCGTTTGTAGGCGCGACGAGAAGGCGCGAGGTTGAATTCACCCCACCGACCGGTTGGCCGTCGGAGTTGGGTGTTCCCTGTTATGTGATATGGCTCCAATGTGAGTCTCACGATTCATCGGAAACGACAGTCCGCACCTTTCCCCGCTACCCGACCATTGTTGGACATCGATCAGACGTGTAACGATGACCTATTGCCCCTCTCGGCGGAGGAGTCGGGGGAAACATGAAATTCGTCAAGATTGCCCTTCTCTCTTAAGGTCCTTCACCCGGGCGGGATTGGTGTTCCTTGAGGTGTTCTCGCTGCTGGATAAATCCATTATGTTTTGTAGTTTGTGCTCGGCGATGTTGCCGAAGGGTATGGGTATATTTCCTCTGTGTCATAAGTCTGTGCCGTTATGGGCGCTCAGTCGTTGGGGTACTTAAACGTTGACGTTTAGCCTTTGACCGGGTGCGTTGAAAGGCAAAGAGCATACGAAGATGACTAAAAAAAATACTTATAATCGAAGACCGTGTTACACACTAAAATTAGGTCAAAATATGCCCATTTTGGCCGTATTTCGGTATAAATAATTGAGAAGTATTTTGAGAATTTTACGACTTCGCAGTAGAACACACCGGGGTCAGAAAGCGACAGAGGGAAGGGACGTTGGAGAGGGTGGTAAAATACGATATGGAGGCTTTGAGAAGGCTTACGCCTGGATGGCATCGAGTCCCAGCGACAGCGAGGACGACTAATCGAGTTTTTCCCTTTGTTTTCCCCCGATAGCAACAGACATTTGTTTTACCCCGCAAGTGTCTTGGTTTTGGTGTGGGAACCCCAAGTGTCTTGGTTTTGATGTGGAACCAAAACTGTCTTGGTTTTTGTGGGGGGTCACGCTTACTTGTTTGATTATTGGCGGACGCGGCACGTATCGTTGAGTAGGACGGGGGGGTTGGGTTCGGGCACTACTATCGTTTGTTGCCCTGCAAGTGTCTCGTTTCTTGTGTGGGGCCTCCAAGTGTCTTGGTTTTAGTGTGTAAATCCTAAGTATCTTGATTTGAGTGTGGGGGGTCACTATTACATATGGGGGGCGCGTTTGGCTGATGGAGTATAGGAGGGGGGTTATCTTTGGGGTGGGGATAATTCTTGAGTTTTTTGGGGGCGGGACAGGCGTTTAGCCTCACCCACCCCCTACCTGGAAATGGTCAAAATATGGCCGTTTTTGGGCCAACTCAATGTTCTCCGGCCTTTCAGCCGCATGGTTCAAGCACCAACTGAAAAAAAGAAAAAGTTTTTCTGTCTCAAAAAACGCCGGAGAATTCAACGAAAAAATCGGAAAACAGATCAGACACCGTTAAGGGGGCGCAAAAACATAACGGCACAGACTTATGATACAGAGGAAGGTAAGAGGGTAACAGTCTGTCGAGGAACTCGGCACCACATCTCTGGCTTGGGAGTCGATGCTTCTGCACCTCGTTCCAGCGACACGCCGGGCTCTGACCGTCCCTGGAATGTGCCATTTCTAACATTCAACCGTCAAGGCATTCTGTCATACCTTACATGAACCATGACTAACGCGCCCTCAGGCCTGAATTGCTCCAACACACCGATCTCGAAAATGTGGTAAAACTACAAGCACTGCGTATTGCACTATCAGAACGTCTTCACAGCAACGATTTATTGTTCTCTTTCGAATTGCATTTATTAATATTTTCTACCGCCCGAGGGAAGAGATACCAAACTGGCAGAGAGCACATTCCCGCAGACGCGTTTCTGCGGCCTTTCTATCGTGCCTCTGCCTCTCTCCCAATAAAGGCTGTCTCTCTCTTCCCTCCAAACAGCAACTGAGGGTGCCCTCTCCTGCGGTGGAGGGAACCAATCTTACTGCACACAGTAGTCTCAGATGACCAAGTCCCTAAAATGGTACCCTACCATTTTCTTCGCCAACATCAAGGTCATCATGACACTACTCGTGCAGTGGGATTAGGTCCTGCTACTGCCTACCTACCGCACACAGTGCTTTCCCCCGATTGCCTCCCGACTCGCTATGTCGTACCGAACGGGACACCCCTTGCGAGTCCTCTACTGTGGGCGGCTCCTACACATTCCTTCTGACTTCATCTCCCCGCCCTTCGGGATACTCGTTCCAATGTGTTGCCCCCAACAGCCATATACAGCAAATTCCCAAATCCTTAGCTAAATGGTGCAGCGCGCGTTAGTTTCTGGGATTCACCCCTATTTCGTAACTATTTGCCTCGAAGCTCCGCGGGCTTGGGCATACTTCAGAACTTGCACTGCACAACCTTTAACTAAGACAGGATGTTAACGGCGCGTCATCGGGCAACGTTGCACAACATGACAACGACGCCACCACCAGAGCAACTGCTCCGCCGTCTGCTCTGTATCCCGATCATGGGTCGTTAACCTCATCCCGATTCTTGGATCGCCTGATGCGATGCACGAGGGGAACCCCGACCACTCCGGCGTGACGACGGCAGGAATAATCGGCACCCGGCGGTGATAATGGTGGCTTCCTACACACCGCCGCCGCATCGACCAGCTGCCCCGCTCCGCGATTGAGGACCCGATGAGGTCGTCCATCAGGTCTGAGTTCGCT